AAATCTTTTACATGTTTATAAATAGTTCTCTTCTTTGTAGTTTTTATCTGGGGTGTGAGGTATACCTGGACTATTACAGAATCACAGAATGGTTGAGGTTGGAAGGGACCTCTGGAGATCATCTAGTCCAACCTCCCTGCTCAAGCAGGGTCACCTAGAGCATATTGCCCAGGATCACATCCAGACGGGTTCTGAATATCTCCAGGGAAGGAGACTCCACTACCTCTCTGGGCAACCTCTTCCAATGCTCCGTCACCCTCACAGTGAAGAAGATTTTTCTCAGGTTCAGATGGAACTGCCTGTGTTTCAGTTTGTGCCCGTTGCCTCTTGTCCTGTTGCTGGGCACCACGGAGAAGAGGCTGGCCTCATCCTCTTGACACTCCCCCTTCAGATACTTGTACACATGGATCAGATCGCCTCTCAGTCTTCTCTTCTCCAGGCTGAACAGGCCCAGCTCTCTCAGCCTTTCTTCATAGGAGAGATGTTCCAGTCCCCTCATCCTCTTTGTAGCCCTCCGCTGGACTCTCTCCAGTAGCGCCATGTCTCTCTTGTACTGGGGAGCCCAGAACGGGACCCAGTACTCCAGGGGAGGCCTCAGCAGGGCTGAGTAGAGGGGCAGGATCACCTCCCTCGACCTGCTGGCAAGACTCTGCCTAATGCAGCCCAGGATACTATTGGCCTTCTTGGCCACAAGGGCACACTGCTGGCTCATGTTTAACTTGTTGTCCACCAGGACTCCCAGGTCCTTCTTGGCAGAGCTGCTTTCCAGCAGGTCAACCCCCAGCCTGTCCTGGTGCATGGGGTTCTTCCTGCCTAGGTGCAGGACCCTGCACTTGCCTTTGCTGAAGTTCATGAGGTTCCTCTCCGCCCACCTCTCCAGCCTGTCCAGGTCCCTCTGAATGGCAGCACAGTCTTCTGGTGTGTCAGCCTCTCCCCCCAGTTTAGTGTCATCAGCAAACTTGCTGAGGGTGCACTCTGTCCCTTCCTCCAGGTCACTGATGAATACATTGAACAAGACTGGACCGAGTACTGACCCCTGGGGGACACCGCTAGCTACAGGCCTCCAACTTGACTCTGCACCACTGACCACAACCCTCTGAGCTCCGCCATCCAGCCAGTTCTCAATCCACCAATTAATTATTGTCAAATAATTACCAATTTTTTTTACCAATTCTAATTGGTATTATTTTTATTGGTAAATTGGTGTTGACAATATTGCCAGTTATTAATGGCAAAGAATAAGGTGTCCAGTGCCAAATGTAATTTTTGAAACAAAGGGACTTCTTGGTGGTGGTGGTGGCAAATATGTCAAAAGTTTGCTACTGCTAGCCTGCATGCATACATTCAGTTTTCTGATTCTGCGCTGAAAGCCAGTCCTAACTGGCCTTTAATTTTCTTCTTACTCTTTCTTTTGTATTGTATTGTATCTACAGTTACTGATCTCTTACCCTGTTTAGCGTGAGCAACTTTGCATAGGCACAGTTCAAACATTTTAATTACGCTAAATAGAAATGCAATCTGAAGTTTTCAAAGCAGTATGAAAGTTGATCTTGCATGTCAACTTTTAATCAGAATGGTTGATTTTTATTCTAATATAAATCTTTGGGGATTAGGACGCAAAGGTGTTAATTAGTCCTAAAGGAGTTGATTCATACAGAATTTCAGTAGAAGATTAGTGCCTAATAACTTTTTAAACTCCTGGTTCTCAGTCTTTAGCTGATACAGTGCTCATTGAATAGGCAAAATAGTTTGTTTTTTTTTCCCTCGAAGATTGAAAACATCAAAAATTGTCATTAAAAAATTAGGAAGATGAAATTCAAACGGCTTAACTCAGGTGCATCCTGATGGGAGGCAGCCATATGAATGTGCACATGCCTAACTAGCAAAGTCTATCCGTGGGCTCTCATCACGTCTAAAGTGACTGAAAGTGTGTCAGCGCTGAATGTATGTTAATGTATCCTTTTTTCATTTTTTTTCCAAATATTGAAAGGATCTCAAAATCATTTGCAGACACTGTGCAATGTTGTTTTCTGTGTTAAAATGCCCTTTTGATCTGGAATTCAATCAGCAAGGGTGGAAGTGTTACTATGAAGGCATAGCATAACGAAAAGCAGATAAAAGTTATGTGCTTCCTAGGCAGGAAAGGTATGCGCTGGAATAGCCTCTACCCTATTCTCCCAAATATTAAAAACTGTTAACAAATACAGGAAATGTACTTTGCTAAAAACAGTGTAGTGTGGAGATGTACCATATTGTTCATGGTATATTTTGCTTCATTACTTTTCTGTCAAAGCATTTAACTCAATTCTTGGGTGATTTAGTTTGTAGTTTTGCGGTGTATTTTTTTTTTTTTAAGACGTTTTGTGTAGGTGATGTTTAACAAATCTAAGCTGTACTGTGTTTTCATTCACTTGTGTGGTGGATCAATGTTAAATGCTTTGTGAAGCAAAAATTAATTCTGTATTTTTTCCCCGTGTGATCTTATTGCTTTTTCCGTGACATGGTAGAACTTCAGTCACACATTTTAGTCCCTTCTAGATGCTTACCAAAATGTAATAGGTAACTAATAATAATGTTTCATGAAGTTCTTAACGACCTTTACAAGTTATGTAAATAACTTGTAAATTTTCATAGTGTATTTTCATAGTGTATTTTATTGTTCTTGTAACACTTGAAAAGGCATGAGCTTTCTGTGAAAGAATTGCCACGTCATTTTTTAAAGTTTGTAATTACTGTGATTTGAAGTTCTACTATACATATATTTAATCTGCAGTAGCAAATGAGTCTTTTGAGCTGACAAGTTATTTTCTTCTGCTCTTTTTATTTCTTTCTGGTGATTTTTCGGAAAACACTCCAGTTTCTTGGCCTGCATTTTTTTTTTTAAATCTTATTATGAGGATACATGTGTGAATTTGAGATACAGTCCTGGGGAGACAGCTCCATTAGTGAGAAGTGCTCTGTCGCGCTTAGGACAGCGGACTTAAAGTTGGGATTCCAGTGATCTCTTTTTGACTCTTTCACATATTTTATCATGCGGTATTAGTAAAATGGTATATATTTTGGCTTTCCAAAGGTGCTGAGTGTATCCAGCTTCCAGTGAGTTCATAGTTATTTGAAAATTAAGCCCGCTAACTTTCAGTGCCGACTTCATTAATGTATGAAATCAGTGCAGTATGTGTTAGCTAACGAGAGACTTCTATGGAATAAATAACATCTCTCTTGCTTCTATGTTAGATGCACACACAACACTATTCTTCTTAGGAAGGTGCCAACTGAAAACTTTTTAAATAATGACAATTTTACTTCCTTTCTGTGGTCAAGGTCTGCTGCAACACATGGACTGTTACAGACAATCATTATTTCTTGTATGACTTATGATTGTTGCTTTTTAACCAATTTTTGGAGTCACATTGAATAGTTGTTCTACAGGTTTATTTTTCTGGAAACTGTAGTTCTTTATAAATGAACTTTTATATAAAAATATTTTAAAAGGTATGATAGCGAAAAATGTCTGGCCAGCACAGAATGTCTGGCTGTGCTAGAAACTAAAATTTCTAATAAGCACTGATTATCATATAAAAGACAGCATACATGACCTTTGTCATGTGATCTGAAAGTTAAAATAAATGAAAAAGTTTTCAGGTAAACTACTAAAAGTTTTAAAGTTGAAGATCTCTTGCTTCAAACATTCTGGTTTCAGGCTAGCTGCAACTAAATTTAAAGAAATAATTTGTGTAAAAAAAAAAAAAAAGAGTTGGATTTTTTTTTAATCTATACAAATTGCTTTCCTTCTCTGTAAATATATTTAAAATGCTGATTTTCTGCATCACCTCTGCAGAGCAGTGCAATGATGCCTTTATTTTAAAAAAGCATACATAATAAGTAATATTTCTTTTTCACTTTTGAACCCATGTTATGTAAATGTTATGCAACTTATACACAGAATCACATATAACTATGTGATGTAACAGCAATGATTTAACACAAAACACTTTTTTGCTTGAGTCGCTTCCTGTTTGGAAACTAAATCACAAGGAATAATGAAATGACTGTCATATGCTATGTGTTGAGGTTGCAGAATTCAGCCGTTAAGGACTGCAAAAGGCCGACCCTTTCTTTTTTTTCACCAGGTCAAAGATAAGCTTTAAATTAATATTAAGAAAAAGTTCTTAATGTCTTCTCCTCACCTCCTTTAATGTGTTAAAAATAAGAAAATAGCTGAGATAACTGGTGCAGAGATCAGGAAAAATAAAGCTGCAAGGCCATTGGCTTGAATCAAAAAATAATCTATTTCTTTTGTTTCAGTTCTGATCTGCTAGAATTTTTAGTTAGTATGAATATGGTGGCTCTTCTCTCAGGATCTTGCATCTCTTTGCAAAAGCTATTTAAGCACAAGAAGTAGAAGAATTACAAAGAGAAACCTGAGGTGGGGAAGCTGCGCCAAAAGCCCACGGGAGTCAGGAAGGGAGCGCTGGTCTCCCAGTCCTCTCTTCCAGCCTGGCGCCTTGCCTGCTGCATCAGTCCTCTTCAGACGTACTTTCCTGTGTGAAAAGAAGTTAAAGATTTTACATTACTTGCACTGAACATTAAAAAACTTATTTGTTTTTCATTTCCCTATTTTTAAGGTATCAAGAGGCAGCTAAAATCGAATATGTTTTTCAAAGTTTGTGTATTCAAAGTTAATACTGAAAATTAAAACTATTGCAGTAGCCAGACCAACTTCAGTTTTGTTTTTTTGTCTTCTGAGATTGTCACTTTTTACAAGTACTGTTTTGGTTTCCTTTCTTTCTTTTGAGCTACCTATATTTTGAAAATATTTAGTCAATTAAATTGGAGGAAGGGGTTCCCATATGAATACATACATATATATTTCACAGAAAGGAGGTATTATGCAAAAGAAAAAAAAAGATGGCATGGAATTTAGTGACTTTATCAAGTAATATATTAAAATATTACTATATCCTAGTTGCAATACTGTCAAAATTTATGTTTATATGCAGGAACTTGACGAGAGGAGTTGGTAGATTTAGAGAGATACTAAGAGCTATTGAAACAAGAACTACACAAAATCTGCGAATGGTAAGTTATACTAAACTGTATTCCTCTTGCAACATCTGAATTACATTAGGCAGATAAAGGATAAGTATGTTGGATGAGTTAGAGACAAATAATCAAACTACAGCATATTAATCAAGATCTGTTATTCCCCATTTTTTTGAAATGCTACATTTCATGGTTATAGTGAAGGATTGAAACAAAAAGGAATGTTTGATAACTGTCTTTCCCCTGTCTCTCTTTCTTACTTGTCATTATGGTTTAAAAACTAGTTGTGTCTAACCGTATTTTCAAGCTTAATCACAAATGCCCTGTTTATGATTTACCAGTTTCACAAGTGTTTCATCTTTCTGTAATGTAGTAAGGGTGAGGGTGGAGAGCAGCATCTTCACTTGTTTTCTGTTAAGTTGAAAGGTACCTAGTTGTTATTTCTTGTTTTTCTTGATAAAGCCTCTTAAAGAAAAGGAAAGTCATAAAGATTTGTTATTTTTATCATCATAAAGTAAACCCTTACCAAAGAAGTGATACATCTTTTTGCATCTCTGATATAATAAAGGGCTAAGACTTTTCTTGAAAATTACAATTTTTAAAATGTCCTAGACGAATATCTTAATACTGGATTTTTAAAACTTGCAAAGTGATAAGAAAGGTGATTAGTTTCTTAATGCCATAGCTGATTCCTAATAAGCATATTAAAATTATTAAACAATAGACTTTTAATGGAGAACAATAATTAACAGCATAAAAAAATGAAGGGTGGCTTATGGTATAGGAATTAAAAGATGGAAGATGTGACTTATATGGTACTGCCCATGGCTTACGTTACCCATCTGTTGCTGGAAATACTGCCAATTTTGATAGAAATGCAGAGCTTGCTCTCATTCTATTGCATTGTATTATACATTTCTAAGACACTAAACTAATTTTTCAGGATTGACATATAGGGTAGCTTATATACATGTGTATAAAACACTAAAAAGCAGATTAAGCTGATAATTGTGGATATATATCTGGACTTTAGTCGATAAAATCACCAAATTGTTAGTGTTATTTTTCCTTTGTGTTTAAAGAATCAAAGTGGGTATTTGTGTTTCTCAAAAACTAGTTTGCCTGGTATTTTGAATGTTTTAAACTGATAGAAAATATATTCAGCACTGCTAGTCTTTATTTGAAATAATCCTAGTGTTTTTGTGAGACTCTTCTACATTACTAGGGAAAATATTTATCTCTCACTTTTACAGACGATAGCAAGACAATTAGCTGAAATTTTGTTACGAGGCATGTGTGAACAGAGTTATTGGAATCCACTGGAAGACCCACCTCACCAGTCACCCCTAGATGATCCACTTCGAAAAGGTTCAAATACAAAGAATTATGCGCTCAGTAGAAGACCGCGGGTATACACTGGAGAAAAGTATGGCTGAGTTTATACCTCTCTTGTTTCTAAAATTGCAATTGTTGTTCAGTTCACCATGCAATTTAGTTTATATTGTTGCAAATTAAGACGGGGTTGAGAAATGTGAAGGTCTTTTTCTGCTGTGCATATATATTGCATGAAGAGAACTAGAACAACCTGCTTCTTCAAAGAGAAGTTTGCACTGTATGCATGAGGCCTTTTTGTCCTCACTTCCTAGAGCATGGTGGTGTTCTTTACTGGGGCACGTGGTAAAGTCAACAGCTCACTTTACACCTAGGGTACAGAAGAAATCATAGTGTGCGTGGCAGTGTCTTTCTGCTACCTGGAGCCGATCCAGCTGTCTCCTCTGCCACCACTTCGGCTGTGTGCATTTTAAGTGGTTTGCTCCAAAGTGGAAAGTATTCTGCCTGAATATTTTGAAACAACAAAATTGTAACGTATCCTTCTGAAGAGGAGGAAAAGCGGAATTGTAGATTCTTTGTCATCTGAATTGGATGGCAAATCTGAGTGTTAAAATATTAGAAGTTGTGTGCTGTTTCTAGACTTCTGTCTTCTGTTTTATCACAGAAGGAAAGAGTTAGCAATATGGAGATTCAAATTTGTTACTGAAATGTAATGAAAATCATCTAGCAGTTTATCAGTAACCGCAAAGAGAGTTTATTTCCCAAGGCAGTTGCCTTAAATCTTCTTAAGCTAGTTTTGGCATTTCTTTATGTTGTCACCTATTTGTTTTTTTTTTCATTTATTCAGGTAAGTGGTGTACTGTGGGTAATTCTTGTGCAGCTGTGGTGTCTCTTCCTTCCTGAAAATGTGTGACTTTTTATTGTTTTCAAATCTGATCATTGTTAGTATTATTGGTATTAAACGTGGACAGCTTTTTTTTTTTTTTTTTTTTTTAGAATATTAACTTTCTATAAAACTTAACAGCTTGCTGCTTATTCATATCTGATCAGATGAAAATTGATTTCTAGGATCATTTCTAGGTCATGCTCCTTAATCATACTTCTGAGAGTCACAAAAAATGTACCTTTACAAAATTTTGCTATTTGTTACCATATTTGGATTTGGCTCACTGCATGGAAGTAATGTATTAATTTTGAATCATGGTGATGAAATCTTAACCGTTCTGCACCATCTTTTATTTCATTGATAAGAAGTTTCATCGGATGATGCTTTGCGTTACTTGTTTTATGTAATCTGCAATAAAGCCTTTGCACTGCTTTACTTGTATTCTGCACATGAGTCCTTGTGGGTTTATCTTATTTAATATAGTCAACAACTGTTGCCTCCTTGCTTTGATGTTTGTGGGAAAGCACTGTGAACCAGAGAACTGGCAAATAGACTGTAGCAGTGATGATATTGATCTGGCCAATGCTGGAGTATGCTGCAAAATGACAGTGAGTGCTTTACTAATTAATGCAGCTGGAGAAGATGGAAATTCTATTGAAACAAGAAACTCCATTTTAAATATAAGAAAAAGCTTTTTTTATGCTCAAGGGTGGTCTTGCACTGGAACAGGTTGCTCAGAGATGGAGACTCCACAACCTTTCTGAGATACTCAGAACCCGACTGGGCACAGCCCTAAACAACCTGCTCTAGTGGACCCTGCTTTGAAGCAGGGGGATCAGATCAGGTGATCTCCACAGGTTTCTCCAACTGCAAGCATTCTGTGATTCTGTGAAATTGGTGTGATTTGGGGTTTTTTGAGAGAGGTTATTATCTTTTTTTTTTTTTTTTTTTAAACCTCTTTTCTCCAAATGAATTAGTTTTCTGCAAATGTTGTCCAGCTTTATGATCAAAACCCAGAAATTCCTGAGTTTCAGTCTTGTCTGACTGTCTATGTCTAGGATGTTAAGTGATTAAAAGGCAGTGTTTGGAAGTTTTGAAAAGTTGCAAGCTTAGAGCTGAACATTCATTTTGCCAAAAGAATTACTGTGTTTCTCTACAGGTATGTAATTAACAAACTGTACCCACAGCCAAGCTTTTTGATTTAAAATATATATATATATATAGTTTGTGGATACATCTTGATTAGTGCACTTAAAAGTAGGCATGTATTGCCCGAACGCTTGCTTCGTCAGCTCCTTCCATTTTGAAGTTAAATTCAGAGATGAAACTTGCCCGGTGGTGATTGCCTTTAAAATCTTAAGAATGAAATACAAGATTCTCTGTGAAGAGCATTCCTATGTAGTGACCACATCTTAAATATAGTCATCTTGAGAATTAATATGATTCAGAAGAAATTTTGGATATAGGAACAGAGTAGTTCATTTGTCATACATTGTTCTTCATAAGACAAGTGAAGACCAATTCACTTCATGCCTACAGCTTTTACTTTGAGAGCTAAAGAAATTTTTCAGCCATTCTGTGATTCAAACAAAAGAAAAAAAGGAAAAAAAAAAGAAAATTGATTAAAAACCGTTCTTTACGATGGCACTGTACTATCTATGTCAGTTTTACTGATAACCTTTACACTAAATGAAAATTGCTCACACAGCTTGTGAGAGTAGTATCTCGTGAAATGGGTTGACAGAAGAAAGGATGAACAATAGTTTCTTCTCTATAACCATTTCTACAGAATCTTGTTTCTGCTGTTTTTAACCTTTTTTCTTAATATTCTGGTTGAGGAAATTTATAAGGAAATATCTCTTATGCTGGGTCACTTATTTTCCTAAACATTCAAACAAATACCTGGGTTCACAGAGCAAATCCTAAAGAACGATCTGTTCCTCTCTTGCAGTATATATGCCTCAGTAGTTAACATGAAAGGCTTTTTCGTAAATGGCCCTATTATTATGTGCAAAAGAGTCAGCTTCTATAGTAGATCCCTTATAGAAGCATATCTGCCTTAAATGCTGAAGAGATGCTGGTTTTGTTTTAGTGTTCACAGTATCTGTATATTATCACCTAAAATACTGTCAGATTTCAGGCACTTGAGTTACTTAGCTTCATTTAGTGAAGATTTCCATTAATGATTATTTTATACAACAGCAAACCCACATAATCATCTTTTTGTAGAAACCCACTTCTTCACAGAAGCGGGGCTTTGTTCAGTGTCGTTTTGTTGCTCTTGGGTCACGTAAGCAAGGATGTTCACAATCTCAGCGCTCTCAGCGCAGCATGCAAGAACGATGTGGTTTCTTTGCTCACAGCAAAGCGAGCAAAGATACCAGATCAGACAAGATGCGTCATGCCTAGTATCTCATCTCCAGCAGTGGTCAAAGAAAAAGTATACTAGGACAGATTTGAAGGAAACTTTTCCCTAGGTACTTGCCCACCCTCCAGCTGTTTGAACCTGAGAGGTATTGGCTGGTTTTTAATGTGCTGCCTGAGATGTTAGTTAAGTGCACTCAGTTCTTATGAAGAAGGTGAATAGAGTATGACTAATACCATTTATGATGTTACAGATCTCTGTGTTATTGCCTCTTCAGTTTTCTTTATTCCCTCTTGAAGCTGTATAAAACCTCTTGGTCTGCCTTTGGGTGCTATGCGTTTTCTGTCTGCGGTCATCTCAGCTCTGCTGTGTTACCTGGGAACTATCTCACTTCTATGCCTGTGTCACTCAGGACATGCACGAAATGACTGAACTTGATCGTCTAAACTGAGCTTTGCATACATGAGTTAAAGGAATTTCCCCCTAATTTCTGCATGAAGAGGATCTTCAGTGTTTGAGACAGGCATCAAATTACTCTTTACAAAAACATCTTCAAAGATTTAGGAGAAAATGTTTCTTTCTGTTAGTTAGTAGAGATTTTTTTTTAAAGTAGTTCACTTCAGGGCATCTTCCCTGTATCCTCTGAGAAAGTAATTTGCCCAGCAACTATTTCCAATTGTTATATTGCGTTCTGAGGACCGCTGCCAGTCGATCAGGCTGCATCCACTTCCAGGGTGCTTTATTCTGCTTTGGAGACTAGATAGGTAAATGAGGAGCCAAAACTGGCCCCGATGGCTTTTTCTTTCCTCATCCCCTGTGCTGGGTGGCTCTTTATTCATGAGTAACGGTGTTTTGAAATTTCTTTGTTATGTAAAAGATAAAATAGGCCTTCTGAGATTTCAAATCCCCTTCAATACCTGGCGAGCAACTTGCACTGATTAAAAACAGCCTGGCTGCCTTTCTCCTCGGGTCTTTAGAGATGCAATCCCTGGGGTCCTCCTTGCTGTATGTTACCAGGACGCTTTCACAATCTCACTTTCAAGCACCCTGGAGATCTGTCGCATTTTTACGTTCCATTTCCTTTCAGAGATTTCATTGCTACCTACGTTTCTGATCCTTTTAAAAAAACAAAAATTGTTTTAATCTCAGGCAGGCATACTTTCCTGTCAGTAATTTGTTGTAGTTCAAGCACAACCTTTGGGACTATAGGAATTGCTTATTAATAGCAAGAGGTCATTTACTGTGTATATTAAACAGTTAACTGTGGAACAGTTGGCCTGAATGAAGATGAAATATTACTTAGGCTGAATCAGATACAGTTGAGAGAGAAAAATCTGGAGAGTTAAAATGCAGTTGCTATTTTTTCCAGCCACTACCAAAGTAGTCAGGCATCCAGCGTTCACAGAAAGTGGTTAAGTCTGCAACCTAGTCCTGTGGAAACCTTTGGAGTTAAGTCATAAGGCAATGTGTACTTCAGTGGAAATGAATATTTTAACTGCTTGGAAATAACAGTGCTTATGGCAAGTAGGCAGAGACTGCTGTGGTTCTCTTGTAAAACTTCACAAGTAGTGAACACAACAGGAAACCAGTTCTCAAACTTACCTAGTGAAAAGGTAATAAAATAATTTATCCACATATTGCCTAAAATGCAAAAGTTAACCTTGCTTTTTGAGAGAGTCTTGCTGCTAACCTTTGAATCCACGATGTAGAGGCATCTCAGATACAGTTAGGTGCCAGAGGCCAGCTACACTATGGATGTTTATTTTAAAGTTGTCAACTTACATACAATTTGGGGGCATTTGGATATATTCATCATCTCTGACAGCTGTGGTGGTTTTATTTTGTTCACTTTGTTTTGCTAAGCTCCTTTTTTTTTTTAATGTAAATTTAGAGCATTGCAAAGAAATGAATTTTAACTGATTGATTTTTTTATATGTAAGTAAGTTGTTCTCTATTCTCTTTTCTGGAAATCTTCCAATTTTTACTACATTTGTGTAAGGTACACCTTAGAACTTACTAATGTTAGCTCTAATGTTACTGTTTAGCTTTACTATATTTGTGTAACGTATGTCTTAGAGTAAAATGTTTAGCTTTAATAATTCAGTTTTCTTTTGAACAGCATCTTTTGTCCTCAAGAAAATACAGAAGAAGCCTTACTATTGCTGCTTATTAGTGAATCTATGGTAAGTAAATTGGGTGAATGCTTTAATTTTTTTTAAATGCAAATAGAAATTCTTTTGCCATATCTTGATTTTGACTTCTTTACTACCTTGCATTTCCTGTTAGGAAAGCAGGCAATTACTTCTGAAACTCAAGCTTCTGCTCCTCTGAGCCAGCAGCAAGAGCTCTGAAAGCATTATCAATAGGAGTTTTTCTCCTTTAAAGTACGTTGTCTCTGAGCTGATTGTAGCTTCCTTCTAGCCATAGCTAAGTGAACCCAAAACCAGGTCTTTCACTTGGCATGACTTATCTGTGTGAACCACTGCTGCCCTATCTGTTGCCATTCAGCAGACAGGCTCAAAATGTAAGTTGTTTCTGTTGTACGCACCAAAATCAGACTACTGCATGACTGTGACAAACAAATGTATCACAAAAAATTGTTTTCCATTGTGCATTAAAATTTAGATGTCATTCAAACCTGTAAATTGTTTTTGGTTGTGCAGGCTTTACAGTACAGCCTTGGCTGCTGGAATTTTTCTTCATCTCCTAATTTTCTCAGTAGCCCATTCCTTTCAATCGCCTGCTTGTGGCATTTTTTCAGAGGTCTGTATTTTTCCGCTAGCACAGTTTTATTAATCATCCATCCACTACCGTGTGCTGGCATTCTCATACAAGGTCAGTTATATATTTGCAAATGACAAAAATGAAAAGCTTAAGCTGAAATTTTTGCCATGTTTTAAACAGGCAAATCAGTTTAAATCAGTTTTCAGTTTAAATCACTAGAATCTCAGAAATCATTTAACAGTCCATCTCACTGAACATCAGTGAGACTTAGTCTTTTAAATAGATGATTGGACACTCTTACACTGTTTTGAGATAGTGTCTGTTTTGATTCAGTTAAATAAAATCAGAACAGTTTAATAATCAGTGTCTTATTTGAGCTATTTTATTTACAAACATTTACACTGTAGTGCAGACTACTTTGTTTCTAGTGATCTGCCTTGAAATGTTCATGACAGAGTCTGTGACCAGAGAACCAGACTGAGCAAACACCTTCATATACCATGTGTTGATTTTGCTGCAGTGTGCACTAACCCCTGAAAGGGACCCTCTGTGCTCCTGTAAGGTGCCTGAGCAGCTCGTGGCGAGGGACAGAATTCAGATTTGAACTGTGTTCATTATATGAAGGCGGAAGCCATCCCAGTTCTGCAGAACCTGAGGCTACTCATCGCTGTATTTGCATGTGTGTTTCCTTGCATGTCAGTATTCAGACACTAACAAACTAATTAAAATATTGCCCATGTAACTCTACCTGTAACTTCCATTGTGAATTAGATCCGTCTGGATATATCAAATGTTTGTCATGGTAAAATGTTATGCCTTTAGGAAAGATTTTTGGTTTTGATTTTTGATTTTGATTTTTTCAAATAATTACTGGAAGCTATATGAGGCAAAGGACTGTTTTAGGGAGTGTAAAATCCTGTTTGGCTTTGGCTAAGCTATTTGCTCAGAATATTTTTGGAGGGGGGAAGGGGAAGATTGAGCATAAAAATATTATTCGCTCTGTACTTGTCTTTCTGGAAGATGTGAGCTGAAATATGAAAGTTCAGTGCATGCTAGCTCTTTCTAGCTATAGTAGTTATGAAGTGTCTGTTCTATTATTTTGAAACTAATGTTTTGGAAACAGATAAGAATGATTACAGAAGATAGAATAAACATTCTTTTTTAGAGATGATACTGCACTATCAAAGTAGTACAATCCCCTGCATTGTCTGTGAATGATAAACACACAAATAAGACTTCAAAACTTGTGCCCTTTATGAATTTATTTAAGAAAATACTGGGAAACAGAATGAGAATCTGACATGTTAAGTAGCATTTGGTGTAAATAATCCTAGTCAAATTATTGTGTGCATACTAGCTGTAAATCCTACTGCTAGTTTTAGGGAAGTGGTACACTCTACCATCATAACTTCCTATTTGGATTGGATCTAGTGTGGCATAAATCCAGAAAATTGAGGCTTGCCAGTAGACTATTAATGCTACTTTTGTGTCGCCTTAAGTTCCCTTAATTTCTGAATTCAGAAAAGATGCTTTAGTGAGTAAAATTTATATTGTAAACTTCATGAAAGGAATGCCCTGGAAAAGATGGTTCTGTGCTTTTTAAGTCTCCTAATTCTCTTATAGATAAATTTAAGAGCCCAAAAAGCCTCTGACTGCTGCTACAGTATATTATCATGCATAATGTGGGAAGTTGACTGCAACTCTGTCATCAGTCTTATTGCAAGATGTCCTTGCTTTCTAGCTCTTACACTTGCAAAGCACAGACCAGCCTTTCCTTATCTCGGCAGGAATGGCTGGAAGGGCAGGAGCTGGAGGGCTAAGATCTGCAAGTTACAGTGGGTGTACATCCTACTGCATGTCAGCTGAGCTGTGGTAAACATATGCCTTGCTCTAAGCCTGTGGTTAAAAGGTTAAGCATAACTTAATTTATTCACAGGAGAGAAAAAAGGTTATGCTGCTGGTATTTGCTTCAGGCTTGAAGCGTGTCTAGGGGAAGTGTGGCCAGCTGACACATTGCAACTTAACTGATCGTCACAACTGTATTGTGTCTGAGTCCTTAGCAGTTCTAAGACACTGAACACTTATATTCACAAGTATATTCTGTTTTATAAGTGAGTAGAAAATGATCATGCAAATATATCTGTAAGATATCTCTTAACACAAGGCATCCTCTCTTTAACAACCTTGGTATTGTCAGCTGTTTTTTTCACAAGCAGTGCTAGTTCCTAGCATGCTCTGTAATGCTGGGAGTGGAATCAGCCAGAGATTAAATGCGGGGTTATAATAGCAGGAATTTCTTGAAGCCGGCTGGAGATCTACGCAGCGTATAAAGCAAAAAGATAAAAAGAAACCAAACTTTTCACCTTGGGATATGCGTATGTGGGCGGCCTTTTCAAACCAAGCTGCAGTTTGTTCTGCTGATGACTCCTGGATCGCGTGTGCATTTTACGCTCCACGTGTCTCTCTGAAAATTTCTCTTTCAGTTTTTGATTTTTCTGATTTTAAAGGCTTATATTCAGAGTCTAAAATGTGATCCTGTTAAAGTAGAGAAACAGTTTATTTGGTCTTAATGTGTGTCATTCATCCTCTCTGAGAAAGGGGGAAATAAGCAGTCCATTTTAATTTTAAATCAATGTATTGGAGCAGACTTCAAATCAAAAAGAAGGGGGGAGGATCTTTAGTTCTTGACTTCAAACTACCAGATACAGTAGCATTTTTATCATTAGGCATTTCAAACATGAGGCAGTCTATAAAGAGAAGATATCACGAAGGTATTTTCAGAGAGTTGGGGGTATAGTGGGAGAAGTTGAGTATAGGTGATCTTAGTTACTGGGCGATCTGAATTTTGTTCTCTGCCGTTTAACAGGATTCCTCTGTGAGCACAGTCAATTTATTTAAACCAGTTGTACCTCTGCGTCCTCCATTCTCAAAAGGAAAAGTTTAGTTAAGGAATTATCCTTGCAATGTGCCTTCTCAAAAAGGACTTGAAAGTACAAAGCCTTACTGCAAAGCTGGTCTGATTCCAAACCTGGGCTGTTGACTAAGGGAAATGTTTGTGCCAATTCCCTTCTCAGTGATAATTCCTGAAGAGTGATTGTGTGGTTATCCTGGGCAGGATACCATTCACAAGGGAAAGGATACTGTCACAATCTTACAAAGAGAAAAGAAATTAAATGCCTTATTGGTAAAGATGGAACAGAAAATTTGAAAACCTTCTAATATGTTTTATATATGTACAAACAATAAAATTTAAAAAGATAAACTGCTCATTATACTAAAACAAAGCTTCTTTGGCTTCTGAGAACTCTTTCAAAATCTTACATAAATTACCCAGTTCATATAATTAGAATCAAGTGATGAAAAATAGATCAATATAGAAGCCTAACTCTTTCAGCTAATATGATAAATTGGTGTGGATTCATATTATCTTTAAATTAGAATCTATAGATTCCAATTAATTCTAACTTCTATAAAAATCTATAAATAAATTTACTTGCGCTAAAATATAGCTTGGATTACAGTGGCTGACATGATTTCTTCTTGCTATTGTTTCAGGCTAACCGTGATGCTGTACTGAGCAGAATACCAGAACACAAAAATGATCGTATCATCAGTTTGCAAAGTGCATCTGTAGTCTATGATTTGCTTACTATAGCCTTGGGAAGAAGAGGCCAATATGAAATGCTATCAGAGGTGCGTCCGTAAGAGTGAAAATTCCACTGTGTTTTCAGCGCTTGTTTATGCTAATCGTGTTAATTATGGTAGGGCTTAAGGGCTAAACAGATATAGGACTCTGTTGTTCTGACTACTTTATTAAATAGAGGAGTAGGTAGTCTCCACTCCAGAAAGCCTACTGTCTACATATACACAGGTGACTTGTCAAGCACAGAAATTTTATGAAAGATCTGATAAATCAGATATTTAATGGCACAGTAATTCACGTGCGTTTTGGTGGCGAGGCAAAGGATATATATTAAATGGAGACAATTGGAAGGAAAGGCAAAAGAGAAGAGCTAATTGTGGAATGAATTGAAGAGTTTGATACAGCTAGAGACATGAATAGCTAAACTGGACAGAGCCGAAGTGTAGCAAGGAAAAACAAGAACTTCTTTGAATGTCCATAGACCTTTTTGCTTTTTATTGTTTTGTTTCTGTTGGCCTGGAGAATTTAGCTGCTGCTTCTTTTAAGTGTTCGTTGAAAGCTTAGAAGACACCAAATCCAATTTTGTTGTAGCTGTGCTAATTTAAATACATTGCCATGAAACTATTAATGTGCATTTGTAGCAAGACCTAAGTATTATCCATTGTTTTTTTTTTTTCCTTCCTGAAACATTTTCTAAAGCTTATTTTAATACTTCCCTAATGGATAGGTAGCCAGTAAAAGGATTCCAGAAAAAGGATTTGTGAGGCTTTATTTTGAAATGAATGTATCTTCTAGACCTCGTAACATTTGGGGTATTTCAGAATCCTAAGAGCTTGTAAAATGGCTTTGGAGTTTATAAAAGGGGGAATGTATTACTTTCTCAGGTCTGTAGAAGCTGCATTCTGTTTCTCAGGTGTCTTGTGTTTGACTGTGCAACTCATGTTTTTTGTGAGATTGTGACAACTTCGTTAGGAAATTTTAAAGTATCATTAACATTTTTATACTTGAGAAACAACTACAGCTTTCTGGGCAGAGCAGATCTTTCTGCTACTCAAAACAGTGCTTATGCAGCAGCAAGCTACTGTTGCTGATGGTGATTAATTCCTGGTATCCAGAAGGTATCTTTCAACATGTGTTAAGAAGGCGTATCAAGGGATTGCTTTGCTGAGAAATGATGCCTTTCTACCATAATAAAAGACTATATAAAAATATAAAAACAAAACCTCAGCTCTTCTGTTATATATGGATAGTGATTGTTTTTAATCTCCGTCTCCTGTGGCGTTTAGCTCTGAATTTGAGTATTGTTATGCTCCGTTTTAGTCTATGCAATAGAAAGTCTTTCGTGAAACCTGGTACTATGAAAGCTCATAAAGGACTGTCATGCTACGAAATAACCTAGTAGGGAATATTTTCGTTTGCTTGCCAGTACAAACACTACCACCTTCCTGGAGTTTAGGCACTTGTATCACAGCTGAGATGAGCCCATATACTTTAGATCTAAAGCTTTTTAAAGGGATAGACACTGACAAGTATTTGAAAAACAAGCTTAGAGGTCTTCCGTATCTTTTGTTCTTTAAACAGCTGGCAGAGAGGTACTGAAACCTTTCATTTTTATACTAGTATAGAAACTGGAAGAAGGGAGTGAAGTCCTGGGTTCACTGTTTATTAGTAGGTCATGATAAGAATGAGGAAAAAATATTTTTAATATCTCGCCTTCTCCTTTACCATATATACTACTGTGTAGCGTACTACAACTTTTTGGATTATTTTGACTTCACACATAACTTGTCAGTTTGTTACTGTGATCTGTTTATTTCCAGTGATGGAAAGAACGTCCCACCAGAAGATAAATGCCCTTTTAGTTGTCTTAATAGACATTGCGTACGTGATTAACTTCACGTACGGTCTAATGAACATTTTGCAGCAGTATTAGAAAGGATTTATTTTTAATGAAAATTCTATTTACTAATAGTCTTGGTACTGGATATTGCGTGGTAAGAAAATGGTAGCATATATCAGTTATACATAACGAACAATGCACTTATATATTTATACCTTTTTTCAGCCTCCATGCTATTCTTTGCTTCACTTCCTATTATTATGTGGGAACGCACTACATGTCTGGCTTTGTTTTCTGTAATATTAAGCCTGAGTTTGAATGTTAAAAATAATTTGGGGTATTACAGTTTAGCATATACATTATATCTGTCGGAGCAGAAAAGCTGCTTCACGTAATTGTACTCTCTAGACCAGAAAGGTAACTGCTAAATCAGTTGTTTAATCCAGAAAAATATTCCTTCCACCTTTGAACTCTCTGGAGCTGATCTGACTACAAAAATGAGCGCATAGCAAGAGGAAGCAGTTCCTGTTGCCAACAGCAGATACTCAGTGTACTTTCTAATTAGCACATAATGCTAATTTAATTTATTTGATCTCTACATGGTAATAATTAATACTCCTTTTGGCATTGAATTATTAAATTGATAATCTCCGTAGAGTATTTAGTGTAATGAGAGTATTAAAATTCTTAGAAATAACTGTCAGGTGAGTTTAACTTTTTAAGTGGTACTGATAGGTACCACTTGGGTGCCATTTTCATCAAGCATTCACAATTTAGAAAATGTGTCTGTACAACTTTCCTTTTCACATAAGTCTCATCTGCTTCTCAGACCTTTTGCTGCTGAATCTTTCATTAAGAGTAAGTTTGTGGGTATTTATCATTCCTTCTTTCAGGCTAAACAGGATAGCACATGCAGGATTATTTAAACATTATTTTCATAATTTTTTTTCTTACAGAATCTGGTAGCTATTTTTGCTTAAATGAATAATTTGAATTTTTAATTGCATGTGTTTTAGGCATAGCCAATAAGAAAAATTTTATACTAGTTTATCTTCTTAATTGTTTAAGAATATGCCCTTAATGAACAGTTTTTCCTCAAAAAATCAGTGTTTGGAAAGAGCCATGAAGTTTGCATTTGAAGAATTCCATCTTTGGTATCAGTTTGCATTGTCCTTGATGGCAGCAGGAAAAGTAAGTCTTTACTTTGTGGCTATAATTCTTGTATTGATGGCTATTGACAATAACATCGAGCATTCTATAATTTTTCATCTCTAAGTGTTTTAGAAGGTGATGCTGATCTTTAAATCAGCTAAGTATAGTGTATGGTTGAATTTTTGCCTAGTGCTGTAAAAGGCATGGGAAAATCTTTTTATTCCAATGACTTATCGTTTAGGAGAGCTAAAAACTGAAGATCAGGGCTATCTTGCTATCAACCTTAAGCTAGGCTAAATTAATTTAAGTAGTGAATTATACCAGATCATATTATTCAGTGACAACCAATTTAAATGCTGTTTTGATGAACAAATGTTGTCTTTAGGTACAAGTTCATGCTGATTCTTGAATCTCTTTACTTTTTTCATTCAGAATTTCTGGCTGTTGTCTTATTTGTTTTTTTTGCTATTATTGCTGTCTTGGAGACTTTGCATCCTGCATAATTAAACTGGGATGGATTATTTTAATGATCATTTTATGTAAACCATACAGGAGCTTGTATCATCAGGGGTAGTCTTCTACTTTCAGTTTCTTTTGCTTTTCTCTCTTTCATTATGAAAAATAAATTTCATTTATCATGTGATGTAAATAATTAATATTAGTTTTTCCAAAGATTATTCACAGTGGAGGTATTTTGCTTATCTTCAGTATGGAGGAAAGAAGTGGTTTGTATTTTCTTTAGAAATCGTTATTAGAAGTACATTGGTTCTTGAGGGCCTTGATTCTTTGTTTTACTTAGAATTATCTTCAAAGCTGTGATTAGATAGAAGTGGATGAAAAGCAACTTCAAAACTGAGGAGTGATGAAACACTCTTGTATCCTGTAATAGCTCCTCCTCAGTGCTGCCATAACTCCTGAAGAACACGAGAGCACAGCTTGTTCTGATGCTCTGATGCCCCTTCCTGCTCTTTCGTTCGCCTTGCTCTAGTGCGGTGAGCTCACGGGCCGGACAAAGCTCTAAGTACACCTCAGAAACAGCTTCTAAATCATGTACCATTGGAATTGTATTGTGAGCCAATATTTCACCTGGGACACTTTAGTCAGAGTTTGTAGTGGAAAATAACAACTACAGCAGTGCCCGAAGTCTTGTATTTCCTTTGTAGAAGTAGCTGTGACAATTTCTCAACAGAATGTTTAGTAATGGCTCCTTCACATAGGGACAAGAAAGTAGAAAATGGAAATAGGAGTCTTATGTCTGTGAAATATATTTATACTTTTAGTAATTTCTGTGGAAAATGTTTTTAACAGTCTGCTCGCGCAGTTAAGGTCTTGAAGGAATGTATCCGTTTGAAACCAGATGATGCAACTATTCCACTCCTTGCTGCAAAGCTCTGTATGGGATCTCTGCACTGGGTAAGCTTTGTCCCTGTTTGTCTTTTCTGCAAGAGCCGAGTACTCTAAAATGCAACAAAATCTTAGTTGAGTGATATCAGAAAGTACTTTTGCACAGTGACTATGTGCAGTTGGCCTTCACTGGAAATACAACAGGTAGCTGTATGCACGTGTGTTTCCCTACTTTTATGGCTTTAAAATGTTTGACAGCAATGGTTGTGTTTATCGACATAGTGTATTTTGATACTGGTCTAAGACACAGCTGTCCTATTTCAGGTACCAAAGCGTGATGCTGTTCTTCATATTGCTTTTCAAAGCTCTTCAAAGATGCATCCATGTTATAACATAATACTTTAACATATATAGCAGCTTAGGGGAATGTAAAGAGAGTTCACTAATTAAGTACAAAACACTTTTTTTTTTTTTTTTTCTAATTCAGGTATCACTTCCCAATTCAATTTACTTTATTGATAAATAATTCAGCAGAGGAGCTTTTGTAGTTGAAACACTATGAATTTTTGACATAGTTCAGGACTAGAAAGTACAATTTTGAAAAATGAACTCCCATTTTAATACACTTCACCTAAAATAAGGTTATAGTTTATTTTATTCCAGCTGTTGTGAAACAGAAATTTAGCTTGGTTGTAAAGCTAAAAATTTATTAGAAATTGAAACATATACATTATTGAATTAAAATTGTTTGATTAAAAATGAGAATCAGAGTTTTGTTTTTCTCTGTGCGAAAGGAAAATAACTTTTTTGGAAGTTAATGGGACAAAAATCTTTTATTATTCTCAAATCTTTTCAAGAAATTCTTCTGTGTATCTCATGTTTGTAGGTAACGTGTGTTTAGGAATTCTGAATAGGGACGATGTCTTTTGAAAAGGTGTTGAATTGTATTTTAGATGGCTTTGAGATTGTTTTATCTATACAGAAAACAGTAAGGTGATTGAAGATCGTTGTATAGTTTCCAAGATAAATGTGTAATTTTCAGAGGAATGATCAGAAAGAGAATATGATATTTACCTACCTACAAAAAGGAGGAGGAGAGGAAGGAAAGGTCACAAGCAGAAATTGAGAAAATAATGCAGTGGTAGGAACGTGACTTGCTGAGGCCAACAGAAGTACAGTCTTAATAATAATTAACATAGATCCTAGTTCTGTAAATTGTTCCCTTTGGATTGACCCTACATGGAGCCACTTGCTGTACTTACCGTTTACATTTACTGGAATGGATTCAAATTCCTGTTATTTTTTTATTTCTGGATTGTTAAATAGTGTGCTAATGTGGAGGTGCAGACCGTTTAAACCCTGATCTTTTACATGTTTTTGTGTTTATGAGTCCCATACTTTCAGCCATACTGTATGTGATGCAGGGATCTGAATGGGTAGACTTTTTGCAAGGTTGCATAGTTCTTGTAATTGGTTTTCCAAAAGAAGTAGTGCATGAAACAAAAACTCTTTTAATTCTGAAATGCAAAAAAGGGCAGATAACATATGGACCAGAAACGGATCTTACATTAAAAAAAAAAGGCAAAAACTCAACAAGTTTAGAATGACTTGTGTGTTAAGTGCCGGTGTTTCTTAATTATAAAATGAGATAAAATCTCATTTAAATCTGTGTTCTGCACTGTGAATTTAGAAGGGAAACTAGATCTACTCCACAGGAAAATGGAGGAAATAGAGTCCTTAAAGGTGATAATGACTGAGATTTCAATTTCAAAGGACTCCGTGGGCGTAATACTCATGCTATGTGTTCTGCTCAGTGTAATGTAAACTTTCGTTAGTTTTAGACTCACATTGATGTTTTATAATATTTTCAGTTGGAAGAAGCAGAAAGATTTGCCAAAACTGTTGTTGATCTTGGGGACAAAACATCAGAGTTCAAAGCAAAAGGCTACTTAGCACTGGGACTGACTTACAGCCTGCAGGCTACCGATGGTAAGATAAGAATAAACACACTCATATTAAGAAATTCCCATCTTGCCTAAAAGCGGATACCTAGCAAAATGCTAGATTCCCAAATTAAAGCTTCTATGTGCAACCTTTTTCTCCCGGTCAATGTGTTAACACTTCTTCAATAAATATGTCGAATGAAATCTCTTAATCTTGCATATCACTGATTAAATATATCCTTTTTAGCATCTTTGCGAGGGATGCAAGAGATCTTGCAGAGAAAGGCTCTTCTTGCATTTCAGAGGTGAGTGGGTGTTAGTCTTTTCATTTCATTCTGCTATATGTAGTGAAAAGCCTGATTATATGTTAAAAAGAGGGACGTGTAAAGATTGTAATGAGGATTTTAGCTCTGGGAGTCTGCCTTCATGAGTGCAGAATGCATTTCTTTAACATTCACTTCATCATTTTCTGTCAGAAATATCTGAACTGATTCCTAAGGTTTTCCCTTTATTTCATTTTTAAAGACATTTGTGTTGCTCTCTAGGATAAAATATGTGCTTAAAGGAATATTCTCTTCTAATCTGGAGGGGGAAAAATGGTATGATGTAAGGCCTTAAGTCATGGGTGAATGTGATAATGTGTCTAGTAGAGTCAGTCGCTGATCAGATTATATACCAGGTTTTTACACTTACGTTTGTAGAGGCAGAGTATAGTTGAGGCAGTGCTGTTATGGGTGAGGGGCAAAGCGCAAGTAATAAGGTAGCAAGTTTGGAGAAGAAGATCATTTCTCTCTGAAGATGTAACAGCACAGGCAGTGACATTGCAAATACTGCTTCCTCAAAATGCCATACTTGGAAGGAGCGCTGTTGGGGATGACAGTAGTTCATTCTCAAGGGTTTGCCTCTGCAAACAATGATGACAATGAACAGGTGAGTTTGGACAGCTCTACCCCAATTGGATGTAATTACAAAAGAAAAAAATGTCGACAGCATAGCCAGCAGAAGTGTTGCAATAGCTAAATGTACCTCCTGCTATGTTTACGTACCCTTGGAAAATCCTGTTTTGGTGGTAGGCTTAAATGCTTCAAGGAATCTCTTCGCTGATTTGTGAATTAACATGAGCAGGTTTTTACATGAGTGTAAAATCCAGGACTTCTGATGGCGGTTGTATATCTGAGGGGATAAGGTTGAAGGAGTGTTTACCAAGCAACACTAGTGTGAAGCTGATATGTGTTGTCCATTCCTTTCTCTGCCCTAACTATTCCTGTTTGTGTAAATATGCTTTAGCACTTCCCTGTTCTTACAGATGCTTGATGGTTTTAGTAGTTTTTTTACTTCAGCATTCTTACTCCATTTTGAAACTGAACTTTCTACCTCCTGATTTGCACTTCAGTTCCTCACCTGTCCCTATTATCATGGCCTTCATCCTCACTGTTTCAGAAATGCTGTGCTAACCTTTACTCACCATTGCAATCCGTTCACGTGGTGGTAGCTGATACACCTTTTCACTCCACTTTTCAGGTCCTAGTATTGATTTGCTTTCTTCTGCTGATTCTCTTAAACAGCAAGGGATGTAATAAACTCCAGCCTGAGGCTAATCCATTCCAGTTCAGCTCCTTCACCTTCCTTACTCTTTCTTACCCTCCCACTTACTGCTGTGATCCCAAAGCTCTGAGAGTCATTCCCTGCTGATGAGCTGCCTGGAAAACTTCCATTTCCTGAGCTTGAAAAGTGCAATGTTTTGACTGTTTTATATGTAGTTTTAAACCTGTAAACACGGGGATACTTTTTTAGTACTGTTTATCGTGTGGATTTTTTTTAATTATGTTGTTCTAGAAGAAGGATAAGTGATGTTTGGGCTAAAAAATAATGAGCAATACAGAGTAGACTACTAAAACTATTTTTCAAATGATGCTCAGCTTCTTGCTGCTTCTGAAAGTATTTTTCCCCGCTCTATTCGGATGTTGCTTGGTTGTGTTTTATGTCTTCTTACACTCAGGAACTTTGCAGTTTCATTCTCCACAACAGAACCAGCCTCTGAATGCTTCCTTAGCTGTTGAATATCCAAGGCTTCCTAGCAGTGAATAGTGCCAGCTGAAATCTAAAAACGTATCTAGCGTCTCTTCAGTGAACCATTACAGATGTCCTTTAGCTATACAGTATGAATGGACTGTAGTCCATTAATTTTGTAGTGATACAGAGCTCTGAAATATTTGTGCTAACTAGCAGAATATAAATTTATACACAGAAAGTCTTGGACACATGGAGTTTAATTACATCTGCTTTCTCTGCGTCTTTGTGATTCTTTGGGTTTTTTTTTTTTCAATTGATACCACCAACTGTTCTGTATTTGTGCACATTCCAGTGTATTCATGCTTGAATCATATATTCATCCTGTCTACGGGCATTTCCCAAAATTAACTTTTACAAAGGTTTTAAGTTTAAAGTATTTTTGGAGGTTTCACTAATGTACAGGGCATAGGTTTTGAAAACCCTACTCAACAGTTGATATTGCTGCTAGTGATATTGTCAATATGAGTAGCTCAAGCTCCACGCAGAATCTTGGCTTGAATGGTTTGGTCCTTGAAAGGAATGGAGCTTCTGCACCTGAAAAAAATCCTGTTGTTACCGTCTAAGAGAAGGGAGAACGTATGTTCTGGAAGGTGATGGTTTTGAAAGGTGATTGTTTTGGGTACATTTCCATACTCGTGTTCATCAGCTGGAACTCGCACCGGATACGTCAGCTCTACTGGAAATATGTTTCAGTGTGGTTAATAGTGTTGGTTTGGTTGTGTTGATAACTTAGGTATGCAGCGTTCTGGAAAAGTTATTACCACAGCAAGAATACCTTATGCTCAGTATACCAGAGCGCATGCCCATTTTCTCTTCCACTTTTTAAAAATAAACGTTCAAGTGGTATAAGCTGAAATTCTCCATTTATCTGCTAAACAGTTTATAAAAGTAGCTGCTATACTAGACTTGGTATTTTGGTCTGCCAAGGTTTTTTTGTTTTTATCTTTTATTTTTTTCCCTCTTACCAACAGGACCGATTCCAGAAAAATTACTGCAACTGCCAGACCTTTGCTTATCCCAAATTTCAAGGTCACCAGTCTGTGGTACTGGCTGTCTGAGAAGGCAGTCTTGCCAGTGGTTCTTTTAGCACGTTGTTGAGGAGGTGTTTGTTTTACCTAGCATTTTATTTTATTTTATTTTATTTTATTTTATTTTATTTTATTTTTACTTGTAGTGCTTCTCCTGTGGTGTGAATTGGATTATTTCACAGAAGTCACTGAATAGTTGACGGTAGATAGTAACAGCTTTATTCTTGAACTGGCTGAAGCTGGGTGACTGAACCAGTACGCCTAAGTTAAAATATTCTCTTGTTCTCAGAGTCACTTAGTCTTGCTTAGTTTCTGAATTAAAATTTTAAAACAGAAGACTGTGTTTCTGAACACTGTTCGGGTCTTGCATTTCACTGTAGTCTTCAATTGAGAAATATTTTTAGGAAAATATGAAACCATCCCCTAATTTCTTCAACTTTGTTGGTAAGTGCCAAGTGTAGTTGCTAAGCTAGTGGAGTTGTCTGTCTTTGAACGGGGGCAGGCAGAATTGCAGCAGTCAGAGGCAGGTTTGCTTTGTGGCCTAATGGAAGGTTAGTCTTGTTCCCTCCTGATAAAGGACACTGATTAGGTGTTCTGGACATCGTTATTATATATCCTATTTCTATCTGAGCCTCTGTTAAAAGAACGCAACCAATAAACGAAAGTGTTTACTTTGCAGCATTTGGAGGAATTATCCCCCATTTTATTATTATTTTTCTCTGTCTTTATGCTCAACACCCAGAAAAAAATCCCTTATCTTGTGGGTTATTACAAGGAAAAGTTGTAGTGCATATTATAAGCACATCTTCTGTGGCAGAAGTGTCAAAATGAACCAAATGGAATGTGTACATTTGATGAAAACAGTAAAAAATTTGAAAAAAAAAAAAGTAGAAAGATGTTATTTCTTCATTTTACTAATTGGGGTTACTTACAAGAGCAGTAGGTAGGAGTATTTCAGAGATAAATACTGTTGTTGTTGGGCAGCTCAATACTTTTGTGCACAGAAGTAGTATTTGCAAAAAGATCACCAACATAAATTTTATATCCCCTTCAAACATAGATTAATAGTAATCCAGATCTTATACTGCCTTTTGCTATAACGCCTTGATAAAGAAGAAAAAGTCCAGCCTAGGTTACTTTTGCCTTGCTACATTAACAAGGTACTCTACTAGTCTAGTCTTGACTGTTAGGAGTAAAAGTAGCTGGGTTTCTAGGGGGCTTAGTATGCTGGGCTGAAAATGTGCTTAAAATCTGGGAGTCTAACGAATGTACAAAAACAAGATCTGCTTTGCTGCTGCTTTTCCTCTCCGAGTTCTGTGCTTCCGAAGCCTTCTGGGCTCAGTTGGGGAGACTGCTTGGGCACTGCTCGTGCAAGTGATCTCGCTCTCGTCTTTGGAAGCACTTTTTTTTTTTCTTTATACGTAAGGCAAGAAACCTGCCAAATGAATTTTTATTGCAATTGTCCTTCCATAGCTACATGTAGTGTTTGTATAGGAGTATATTTGAACGGAAAGAATTGTTTTGTATTACTCATTTTTAAGATATATGCTGGGATCACATAGTTTGTTTCTACCAAAAATGAGTGCTTGAAAAGGTCCAATCTGTTTCTGATAAATGAAGGATGACTGAGAAGTGTAAGAATACCATTCAGGCAGGGATAGCAGTGTGAGGTGTCCCAGAGTTTCCTGTGTCAAAATATGAACATACTTGTAGAGGGGTGATCTGAATATGCGTACACGAATAGATACATCTATGTGTTTGTGTATAACCTGTATTAACAGGGGGGAAAAAATCACTTTTGTTTCTTTGTTTTTAAGGGCTCACAGTTTGTCTCCAACAGATCATCTGGCAGCGTTTTACTTGGCATTGCAGCTTGCCATATCCAGACAGGTTAGTTCTGTTTTTAAAAATGCAGCCTCTCATTGTCGTATGAAGATTAGAACCTCTGTCTGTCAATGGGTACAGGTGAAGATTTCTTCAGTCCTGTTTTTCCATATGCAATGCAATAGAAAGTCTGTGGTTTTCTGTCACTTTAGCCTACAACGACGCTGTCACCCGTATCTAGAAATGTTCTCTGGGCACCTTCAGTCCTGTACACTTCTCCAGAGTTCTGCCACAGTATTTCCAGCCCTAGGATCAGAAATAAGACAAGTGACAGTCCATCCTATTTTTTACAGCATTTATATTGCTGGATTGAAAGCAACCAGATATTCATTTTTTTTCTCTGAATTTACCTTAATATTATGGGTTATCTCCACTCAGACTGGTTATATCTGGAGAGTGGGACTCTTGAGTCTAGACTTTAATATTGTTTAATATTTTACTGTTCATAGTGCGTCAGGTTCATTTCAGCTGTCTGAAAAGTGTTTTACAGAGTCTTTACAATTCTGCATGGTATCTAGGTGAATGCTTTACTTGGAACGTTTTATGTTTGTGCCAGTAACAGGAGGCAGTATTTCTAATAGCAGTGCTTTCTTTTTCTGCCTTTTCTTTTTAATCAGATACCAGAAGCTTTGGGTTATGTTCGTCAGGCTCTGCAGCTACAAGGAGATGATGCCAACTCTCTTCATCTCCTTGCACTCTTGCTATCAGCACAGAAACACTATCATGATGCTTTGAATATCATTGATATGGCCTTGAGTGAATATCCAGAAAATTTTATGTGAGTGAATGTCATGTTTGCTTTCTATACTTTCTCTCATGTCATATCATATTTCTCTCATATCTCATTTTTTTAGACTCTCATCTGATTGATTTTGAGAGGAGATGGATTTGAAGATTTGTCTAACTTTCTTTTTTCCCCCAACAATGTTACCCTTGCCCTCTTAATGCCTGTCTTTAATTAAAGGTTTGTTAAATAGTGATTAAGGAGTTGGTTTCAGAAGGGAGGATGATAGGGCTGGATAGCTGAGCTTATTTCGTGGTTTTCTACATAATATTTGTTTAGATAATTTCTTCCTGTTGCGTGCTTTAGAGTATTTTTGTCTTCTGTTTTTAAGCAATGTTCTAGAAACAGTACTGTACTTTTAGCTAGGAAAAGATCAATCCCATCCTATCCTAAGATAACCTAGGGCTTATTGTGTGGAATCTATTATGTAAAATTCATCATAACAGAAAGTCTCCTATTTCGCCTGTATAATAACCAGTGATCTGAAATCAGCTGATGGATAAGTAAACAAGTGAAAGGGAGAGAAGCACATGTTTGATAATGTTCTTTTGTTGTTTAAGAAAAATCATTCTTTGTGTTTACTCTTCATGTTAACTGTATCTGAAAATATATTTGGAATTCACATGTCTTTAAGTGGGCCAATGAACTTATTGTAAGTTTGCTTTATGTTCTTAGAAAACTCTAATCAAACGCTTTAGGCTGACATCTGTGCAGAGACAGCTTCCATTAACTTCAAGGAGAGTAACAACGTCCCATTCTGATAAGAAAGTTTTACTGATAGTCGCTGAGGTCGTAATTCATAGTATTGCAATCATCCTGAATGCTTATTCTGGCAATTTTTTAAGTATTTCAAACTTAATTTTGAAATGACAGGCCTTTATCATGGATTTTTATTATATCAGAAAAATACAATTTCTTTTAAGAATTACTAGTTTGAAAATAGGGAATATAGTGTTTTTTCTTCCTGTCCCTTGACCTTTCATGCCTCCTTTCTAGTGTCCATATAAAGTGTCGTTGCCTTTTTCCTCATAACTTTGACCAGGGCCTTTATTCCTTTCACCTCTCCTCAGAATTTCTTTTGCGGCTCACACCCAATGCAGTGTAACTGCCTTTTGTGGCCTTCTGTTTGATAGCTCCTCGTTTGTCCTCACACGTACACGCTTGTCTTTGTTCTTGTTAACATGCTTCCCTTTGTGCTTCATGATTTCAGAACTATCCAGCTGTTCCTTTCCCAAACCTGACTGTGCTTCCTTCAGGTCTCTGGAGGATCTCTGTCAGGAAATCATGGTTTGAGAGGCAAACGAAGTATCACTTAACTCATTTTATACTGTATCATTGTTGAAAACAAATGTGATCAAAACACCATGATCTATTGTCTTCTCTGTTCTTGGTTCATCTTCTGCCACTTAGTGGCAATATAAATGTCAAAGAACAGGCTGCTATATCTGTCAGGATAACTAATAGTCTAGAAGAAGTATTTCTGAAACTGCAGTTCTCTCTATTTTAATAAGAGAACCAAGGATCATTCAGTAAAATGTTTATAAAGACTCTTGTGACCATTCAGAATGTGTTTGTGGGTTTTTCAAATATGGCTCATGGTCCATCCATACTTGTTTATAAATGCATCTTATAGTTAAGCATGTTGTCTGACTCATTTTAAAATGTTGTGATTCTTCTCCTAGTGTAAAGATGTGTATTAATACAGGTCATGGTGGTGGTTCTAAATTGTTAGTCCTGTTGAGTAATACAAACACTATAGTGATATAACCTGCTATGGTAGAGCCTACTGGTACAGATCAGGGAACCTGAGGAATATCTTGGCGGTAGGAATCACCATCACAGGTGGCAACAGTTTCTGAAGAATCCAAGACAGCTGAAAGACAGCTCTGTATCTCTAGACAGTCTTTTAGAGTGGATAATTCTGTCCGCATTGTTGTCAAGTTGCTTCTGGTTCCCGCAGAGGACAAGATGACGGAGATTCCTTGTGTGCTTGTCTGCCATTGGCTCTGCTAGACAGACATACCTGGTCAGTAATGTAAATTTGAACTGATTCCTTCCTGTAACTGCATTATTTTTACAAAGATTTACCAGCAAATTCTCAAATTTGTGATCGGTTCTTGTGCACTGTATCTGATGCCCTTGAAATGGCTGACAATGTGCATGTGCATGTATATAAAATGTAATACACAAGTGCTTAGTGCACTGTTTATTCTGTGTTCTTATTCTGCAGCTTCTGTAAACAGTAAAATCTCATTGCCACTTCCCAGCACACTGGGAAGAGATCCTTTTGTGTTCTGTTAAAGCTTGCTAATTTTTAGGCATACTGAAACACTTGTTTGCCCATGGTATTTTATTGGCTTTTCTAAACATTTCAAATGTCATCTTGTTTTTATCTTTTATCTTTCAGTTATATCTGCAATATAGTAAGTTAAATAGTACATTAAACATTACTTAGTTTTATGCAAAATGATACTTTGGTAGCTTTACAGTGTGTTAAATCTCTGTCCATGGAAAATATTAAAATAAAACATAGGGCTTGTGATTTATGCCATTTCTTATTTCTTTTATTCTTATCTGCACACTTCTGTATTCTGTAATTGCCTTACTGCGCCGAGTGCTGTCCTACCGTTTTCACAGCTGCATGTTCTTTTTGTTTTGCTTTTCCTGGTCAAATTTTCTGAAAGTTGTAATATACATCTTTGTAAAATGCCAGGGGTTACAAGGTAATGGTAGAATACGCTATGAGACATACTGAGAAATGGACACTTTCCAGCACTCTTCTATTGTAGTCAATTAGTAAATGTGCTACCTGTCAGTTTTTAGTCTTCTAAAATCTGATGCATTCCCAGGATTGTTTCATGCTGAATTTTTGAAGCATACTGCAAGTATACCTTCATCTCTCCAGTTGCTGACCTTTTTGCACCATAAAGCTAGAGAACTGCTGAACAAATATAGCCAGTTGGGTAATGATTTTGCCATATGCACCTCTAGGCCAGTAAGCAGAAAGAAATTCCCCAGAAACTAGGACTTCTGTCCCACCATAATCAAAGGAGTGGAACAAACAAGCAAACATCATGCTATACTGTTAGCAGCTAAGTATAGCTTCCTCTTTGAATAGCAAGTTGATTGTTCTTCCTTTGTTTGTTATTTTAGCAGCATAAACATGCAGTCTGCTCTGAGACCAAATGGAGTAAGGGGAAAAACTGTTGGGGAAAATCTAACAAACCTGTAAAAGGCAAATGGGTATGTACTAATGTTTCCCAGAAATAATAAAAATGCACGATATTTGCTGAATATCTAGGGTACTATCAGTTCAAACATTTTATAAAGTTAAAATCCTAGGTTGAAACCACTCTCTACCTATAGACAGGCTGTGTTTCTCAGCAATACCATCAATTTACTTGTAAGTACAATCAAGCTTTTAAAGCCTCCTGAAATCTCTGAGTGCTTTATTCACGGAGAGGAAGATGTCTAGACACAAGATTACTGAGCAAGATTAAGAATACCCTGGTCTGGTGGGAGAGGTGGGAATAAGGTCCCTGCACTAAGAAAACCTGAATAGTTAATCTCAGTCAGATTCTACTGCATTTGAATTTGCCTAAAACTGCAGTTTTTTCTCTACTTTTCATTAGACCACTTACCCCCCTTCAGTTCCTCTTCAGCTTCAGAATATTTGAACCCACAGATCATGCAACTCAAGAGTCCTAACCATCAAACTATGTGGTAGACTGGGTGAGGTGATATTCCATCTCTTCTCTTGAAACAGAAGCAGGATCATGCTGCCCTGAATGCATGGTTGATGCCACCTAAAGGAGAGTAGGCAGGAAGGAGCCACAGTATATCCTAAAACATTAGTGTACATCTACTTAGGAAGTAGATGTGGGTTTGAGGTCTTTGCTGCTTGGATTTCCATTGAATTTTATTTATTTTAATCCAGTGGTTGCATATTGTAATTGTGTAAACAGTCCCAGGAGTGTGCATTACAGTTTGAAGGTATATTCAAGATGATGTGTGGTATTTGTTGTTGTGTTGCGTTCATTTTTGAGGCTACTTTTCCTCCCTCGGTTTATTTCCATCAGCATCTACTATAAAGCTGTACTTGTGGTAATAACATTTTTGTAGTGAAATCTTACTGAAGGTGAAAGAATTTTCAGAGTTCGTGTTGTTATCAAGACACAAGATTACTGCTGTACTTATCACTTATTTCAAGGCAGTGCCCAAGATATACATAATTCCAGTCTAAAGTTGGCTACGTTCTGTTGCTAAAATACTGAACTAAACTTGCTTCTATACTGTTGCTAGTTGGAAGAAAAAAGCCAACATTAGGCACTCAGTGTTGGTAATGAACATACTGATTAAATATGCAAGTGGAGATTAATTAACTAAGTGTGGGGAATATTTCCTAAATAGTTGGGAAGATTGCATTTTGAAAGTAACTCTGTGCAGTTGTAAAGAGCTTTCTGCCCTCTTACAGACTTCTGAAAACTTTCATCATGAAGCTTTGCAGTGTCTTGTTTTTGAACAAAAATAAGTCTCCTGATCAGTGTAATTTTTAAGTGTAATACTGTGAGGGATGGGAAGAAGACTGAGAAATGGGCAGGTATTGATTCATATTGGGCTTGTACATCTTGTGCAATGTAGATAGCGTAGTTAAATGTGGGATTTACTGGGAAGTTTTAACTTACAAACTCCTTCTTCTAGCACTCTTTTCCTATCTTTTTATCTACTTATTTTGAGGTAACTATTTCCTGGTGGTCCCAAACTTTTGAATGGTATGGAATCTTGAAATAACACTTTAATCTGTTCTACTTCATGTTTAGTCTCAATGAAGGGAGAGAGATTTAGATCTCTTATTGAAATGTTTTTGATATTGTTTTCTTAGTCCTAGCTGTTTGGGTTCCTGTTCCACCCCGTTATTTCACATGTTGGGGCTCTTAAAGTATATTGCCTGAAATCAGTGTAATTAAACAAAATAAATAATAAGTATTAATTGC